GGGCATTTTGAATATTGACAAGACGGCTTTTGATGTGGGACTCATTCCGCCCAGTACTAGTAGTACCACTTCAGGTGACTCTTGTTCGCACGTCGTCGCAAGTACCGGCGAACTGGTTTGTATTACTCAACGGGAGAGTCGGCGTGCATGGGCTTGTATAATATGTAGAGGGATCGTCCAATAAACCAACCATCCAGAACCATGGACGACGGGTTCCGGGACTCGCGCGTTCGTGTCATCTCCATCAAAGGGGGCCCACTGATCTATGGAGAAAACAGCTGTTGCCAATGTGGGGAGGATGTGGCCTCAGTATAGAGTCTATTGAACGAGGATCCAATCTAAAACTAGCCTTGCTGATTCGGTTCTGGAAAAGATGGTTGCTGTGATCCATGTAAAGGTGATATGTAGGCAGACAAGCAAAAGCAGTAGGTTGGTAGGTATCGTAAGTAGGTGACCCCCAAGAATGCTCAAATGTCCTTTCAGGGGACGGACTGCCGCGGACTGGCGAGGTTGCATGCATCCTTGCGTCTGTCCTAGTGTAGTTGCTCCCGCCTGCACGAGCACCTACAACACTTCCGTTACTCTTTGATCAAGTCCAGTGTACAAGGTACCACCACCAGGGAACAAGGGAAAAGTGCGATTTCTGCGGCGACAAAGAAAGCACACATTGTTTGACCAATCAACGATGCTACCGTTTGGCCTGGGAAATGTGGTCCCCCAGTATGCAGGTCGATGGATGCTGCTGCAAGTTTTGTGCGTGTGTAGGGAATAGTAGTGGCGTACTGTAGTGTAATGGCTCACTACTATACGTAGACAGGCATGTGTGTTTGGACGACAAGGAGGTTGGCTAGACCCGCCTTCTTCGACGATGCCAAGCAATCAAGACACCGGGAGTATGTAGCCCGCACCATTGGGACAAGAGGGAGTGTACAAGCATTTGCTGCTTGTTGCCATGCTTATTCGTAGGTTGCCCGGCTTATTGTGGACAGTGATGCACAGTGCATCGGCGCTTCACAAGTGGCTTGCTTGTCCCTTCTCCTGTGGAATCTCATCCTTGACAGCAGACATCCAATGGTATTTCTTTTGCTCTAGATCACTGATGATATTCATCCAGTCAGTCGTAAGCCCGGCCACTCGTAGGCCTGCTGGACCCCATGTATGTATGTGTCCCATCTATACGTCTAGGAGAAGTGCCGAACTACCGGCAAAGTCGAACCCCAAACACTGCTTGCTATATGCATTTCGACGATGATGCCGCCGTCCATCATTGGGAGGAAATCCTCCCCTGTTTTCATGGCAAATTTTTGCATACTATCATGCTTCGACGAGACATGGTGTTGCGTGCTGCTCCCTCTTTCTCGACGGTTTTTGTTGATACCACCATCACACATCTCAGTGCTGGCAATAATCCCCCCTTTGGCATATGACGTCCTATAAGCCTTTGGAAA